GTGGCACAGCTGCAGCTGAACCCATATCCTTGAAAGCAAAGGGGTCGGGAGAGCTCTGATTTTCTATGATCAAAGAACCAAAATCAAATACCAAAATATATAGGTATTTAAATTTATTTTATTAAAAATAAAATTTATATTTTAGAGGGCAAGAGAGGGCGATTTCATCTTAAATCAGAGAAAAATGCAGATTTGGGGTTTTTAATCAGAGAATTTTATATTTTTAAGCAGAGAAAAACCAAGAGCCCTGGTCATTACCAAGCCCCTAAGAGCAAGTTTGGGCAATGATTCTGGTTGGAGGGAGGCTTAATGAGTTTTGGTGAGCTATATCAGGCCACAAGGGTATGCCCCTTGTCAAGCCCCACCCCTTGACAGATGCCCCACCTCCTAGCCACCATTTTGGAACCAGAAGTCCCATCCCCCTAACCCCTGACCTTTGCCACCAGAAGTCCCTCCCCTTGGCACAGAAGTACACCTTTGGAGGTCGGGGGAGGGTTGCAGTCTTGGAACCAGAAGTTCCACCCTGTCCATGACATAAGGCAGCCCACCCACCTGACACCAAACCCTTGCCCCTTTTGTAAAACAAGTTAATTCATTTTGGAATACAGAATAGCTTAGAAAAAGAAATGGCCAGACTCTGCCCAAATAAATGAGTATTAGAAATAGAAAAGCCAGTTGGTACAGACCAGTCAAGTAATCAAAATACACTGCAAAGAAGTGAACAATAAATATCACCCCATCTGTGAAACAGTAGTTGTAATGGCTTTTTAAAAAACAAACAAACAAACAAAAAAACCTGTTGCTTATCTGATGGCAGCTGTACATACTATGGAGCAAATCCATTATTTTATGCAACTCATTAAATGTTTATTCCCACAAAAAATAAGACTATAAACTGTATTCCTTCCCAAGGGGGAAAATGATATTAAATGTTACCACCTATAGCCCTGGTTAAGCAAACAGATATTGATATAAGCACCTAAATGTTTTGAAAAAAATATTTAATAATAAACATTTGCTTATATCCCAGGTGACTTAAAGGGACTTACATGCTTTGTTCAGTTGAACAAAACAGAACATTAGTGTTATCATCTTTCAGAGTTATGCACCAAGTTTAATGCGAAGTGCCAGGTTTTTTCAACATCTGCAAGCACCCTACTGTACCAGACAAGGTTCCTTGGGTGAATTTGATATCTTTTATTAGACCAACCCAAATAGTTGGAGAATATGTATTAAGCAAGCTTTTGGGTTCAAAAACCCTTCGTCAGGCTAAGGAAGCTTCAGCAGTTGGTGTGTGCTCTTCCAGGATGGAATGAAAAGTAAACAAGCCAGGGGCTGGGCTGGGGAGTCAGTTGCCAGGCAGATTATAATGCATCAAAAATCCAATGTCTATGTTTAGTCCATGATCTCTAGTATCCAGGAGGTTGATGAAATGGAGCTCATAGGCTCGTCTCTGGGAAGTGTTGTGTAAATTTCCCTTGAGGATCAGGACTGAGAGATTGGCGAGAGAGTGGCTCTCCTGTGAGAAATGTGCCCCCACCAGTAATTGGGTATTTCTGTCTTTGATGGATTTCCGGTGTGCGTTCCTTCTGGTGCGCAGTTGTTGTTTGGTCTCTCCTACATATTTTCCATCAGGGCATTTGGTGCATTGGATGAGGTATATTACATTTCTGGAGGTGCAGCTGTAAGATCCTGGGGCAACTTCAACAAGTTCAGGCGATTAGTTAGGGAGGGACTGATGGGCAAAAGCATCGGAGAGATGGGAGCTTAGGAAAGATGGGCGTTTCTCAAGGGATTGATCCTGCAGGCACAAAAAGGGGCCATCCCAGTACACATTAAGTGGGGCAAAAGAGCGAAGAAACCCTCTTGCTTGAGCAGGGAAATCCAGGAGAGCCTGGAGGAGAAGAGAGGCCAACAGGCTGTGGAGGCAGGGGGCAGACACCAAGGAGAAGTATACCTGGCTCGAGTTTGCAGGGAGGCAGTGAGGAGGGCCAAAGCAGAAATGGAGCTTAGGCTGGCAGCAAAAGTTAAGGATAACAAAAAGTCATTCTTTAAATACATAGGAAGCAAAAAGAAAGCACAGGGTAACATAGGGCCCCTTCAAGATGGATTAGGGCAACTGGTAACAGATAATATGGCCGAAGTGGAGCTCCTAAATGATTTCTTTGCATCTGTGTTCCTGGAAATGGATACAACCATGCATCTCAATGGGGCTCTAGGTAAGCGCAAGATAGATACCAACCCACCAACTGTTAGCACTGACCTAGTAAAGGGGCACTTGGAAGGGTTTGATGTATTTAAGTCAACAGGCCCTGATGATCTTCATCCTAGGGTACTCAGGGAATTAGCTGGAGTCATAGCAGAACCACTGGTGCGACTGTTTGAGCACTCATGGCGCTCAACAGCATAGGTTCATAGCAGATGCTGCCCAACTAACCTGGTATTTTTTTACAACTGGGTCACAAAATGCTTGGATGAAGGAATAAAAGTAGATGTTAGTTACTTAGATTTTAAAAAGGTCTTTGACACAGTGTCTTCCCAGAGCCACCCATCCTAGCCTTCAAATAAGCACCGAACCTCCCCAACCTCATCACCAGAAGCAAAACTTCCTCAAGCCCAGAACACGCCAAAAGGATCCAGACCATGCCATGACAAGAAATGCAAAACCTGCCAACACATCTCCACCACCCACACAATTACTACACCCCACAACAGAGCAATCAGCATCCCCAGGATCTTACAGCTGCACCTCCAGAAATGTAATATACCTCATCCAATGCACCAAATGCCCTGATGGAAAATATGTAGGAGAGACCAAACAACAACTGCGCACCAGAATGAATGCACACCGGAAATCCATCAAAGACAGAAATACCCAATTACTGGTGGGGGCACATTTCTCACAGGAGAGCCACTCTCTCGCCAATCTCTCAGTCCTGATCCTCAAGGGAAATTTACACAACACTTCCCAGAGACGAGCCTATGAGCTCCATTTCATCAACCTCCTGGATACTAGAGATCATGGACTAAACATAGACATTGGATTTTTGATACATTATAATCTGCCTGGCAACTGACTCCCCAGCCCAGCCCCTGGCTTGTTTACTTTTCATTCCATCCTGGAAGAGCACACACCAACTGCTGAAACTTCCTTAGCCTGATGAAGGGTTTTTGAACCCGAAAGCTTGCTTAATAAATGTTCTCCAACTATTTGGGTTGGTCTAATAAAAGATATCAAATTCACCCAAGGAACCTTGTCTGCCTATGTCCTTAGACCAACACGGCTACAACCTAAACCCCTACTGTACCATGATTTCAACCTAATAAATGCATACTGACACTACCTTTAACAAGAGAATTCTTTGCATGTATAATCCATGCTCTTTTTTATCGTCTTGCATGCTCTGCACAATGCTGAATATACATACTGTAGCTAAACTAACAATCAAATACAGAGTGATGTGATCTAATGCTGAGCACTACCTCTATGCTAATTTAGGAAGTAATCAATATACTAAGGAATGTCAAATGCAAGAACAGTGAGAAACCTGTGTGCAGCATTAGGTCTGAAAAGCTCAAATGCTAAGAACTGCATTTGCAAGTACAATTTCTGAGAAAATCTCAGTAAGTGCCACAAGGTGGAAACAATACTGAGACAGCAGGCAGAGATGAGGGTATATAACTGTCAACAACTCAAATATTGTCTGCTTAAGAGGCAACTGGCAGCACTATATACTTGTTCAGGGTTTCCCAAAGGAGGTCCCTGAATATTTAAGCTTTGAACAGAGCCCTAGCTTGGATCTCTCTCCCCTCCCCACAGCTACAGTTCCAGCCACTCTCTCCCTGCCCACTCAAACCCCACCTGCAACTGCCCTGATCTCTCTCTCCCCCCTCCCTCAAACCCTCTCTGCACCTACAGCACAGGCTGATCCACAGCTTCTTGACCCTGTCCACAGCTTACTCCAGTTTGTGCACTAGAAGCAACACCAGGCAGGTACCAGCATCAGCTGTGGACACTGCTGGCAAGTTCCCAGTGGGGATCAAGGTGACTGAGCTGATGCAGCAGCATGAGCTATAGACCTGGGCAGATGCCCAGATCCCTACCCAGAACTGCCAGCTGTACGCTGCTTCCAATGCGCAGGGCTGGAGCTGGTGTAAGCTGCAGACAGGGCCAGGATGCACGACCTAGCAGTCAGAGGCGCTAGCTCCCTATGGGCCGAAACCCAAGATTTTGTGGTCACCTGCTGGCAAGCCGGATACAATCACTTCGTGGGCCATATTTTGCCCACCCCGCCTTTAACAAATTAACTAGATTTTACTGTATAAAGCATTTCTAGATACAGCAAAATGTGCAACTACTACATAGTATGAGACAACAAAAGCTATCAACCAAGAGAGAGGAAACTAATATCTTGATTTCTGAATTTTAAAAAGTCTACTACTGAATTCAGATAAGTAGTTATATTAAGTATTGAGGAGTATTATGTAAGTGGAACTAGTATTGATTCCATCGCAGAACCTTTGAACTCACTAGTCTACTCAAATTAGGCATGTCCCATATGTATAGGAGTTTTTCCACTTCATTCTTTTGAGACTTCTGAATTCCTCGTCAGTTATTACATGCAAGGACAAGCAAACTGCTCAACCTCATGATACAGCAATCATTTTTACCGTTGATTCATTTTCTTAATGTTGCGGTAATTCAAAGTTTAAGCCAACTATACCAGTCATTTCTTGCAAATTAATATTCTTGTAGTAAAAGTACGTTAATTTTTCTCTTCCTTTTCTCCTTGGACCAAAACATCTAGCTGGCAAATACTCAAATTAGTGTTTGGATTATTTTATGTACCCAGTAAACATAGTATTTTCATTTTAAACACAATTTTCCAAGAACACTAAATAACCGTCCTTTGTGGTAACTGAATATTATTCAGTGAACCGAGTATAAATGTAGAGAAGCTCTTAACTTAGTACTCTGCCCTTGCCTAATTCTGGTGTGAACAGGTTTTCTACTGAAAACCACCTAACTTTGGAAGAGAAACTAGATCAAAAGGAAAAACTATCCAAAAACTCACCTCCTTTAATCCATAGCACTTGTCACATATCCCAATTATTTTATTTGGAGGAAAATACTAAATTATTCCCTATATTGATTTCCCATATACATTATACTTCTACTGCAAGAAGTTACCCATCTCACTTACTGCAAAGGCTAATTTTCTGAGTTGTTAACTTTGCCTTTAGCAATTTTCTCCATTAATAAAACAAAACAACTCTGTAAGAATTGTACAACATATTATTTACTTACCCAGATATCTGCCTTGGTAGTAATTGGTTTTCCTCCATAAAGATTAATCATTTCAGGAGCTCTGTATGACAGGGTTGTATACCTAGCAATAAGTAAAGTAAATTGGAAAGGAGATGAAAAACAAGATTTACACCAGAACTGCATGTATCTTTTAAAAATCACCCATCATTCATAAAAGCTACTGCATGCTAATTTTTCACAAGCATAGAAAACAGTTACAAGTTTCTTCCACCAAGAGTAATTTGCTACATTCCCCTCACTGTTGTACAGGTCAGTCGCATCTTACGCGGGGGTTACGTTCTGAAGTCAGCATGCAAGGCGAAAATCATGTAGTCAAATCGCGTATTATCGTGCCAGCGATTTAACTAGTGGTGACTGCCTCTGCCTCCAAAACCTCCCGCCACTGTCACAGAGCTGTGCTTAGAGCTGTGCAGCCGGTGGCAGCGGCACAGCGCGGGATCGTGGTAGGGATGGCTGCGTGCCACCCAGCCACCACCACACTGCCACTGCCACCCAGCGGCCAGCCACACAGCTCCGGGCACAGCTCCATGGCAACAGCAGGATGTTTTGGAGGCAGTGGCCATCACCACCATAATGGGCCTCCAGGTAAGCAGCAGCACCGCGTGCAAACTCAAGCTCTGCCCCCACTCCCACCCCACGTATAGTTGAATTCGCGTAAGTTAAATGCGCATATGATGCGACTGACCTGTATGTAGATGGATCACTGACAATATAGTGGGACATTGCAGCCAGACATGATAGCCCTAATATTTGCTTTAAAAAATTGTCACCTAAAATTTGCTTCTTTCTAATACTTTTTGCCTTTTCCTCTTATTTGTAATCTAGGCTGTCACACTGAAATTTTTATAAAGCAAAAATTAATAAACAAACAAACAAAAAGGTAGAATTTAAAATAGCAAGCAGAGATTCTTGTTTTAATACAGGCAACCCCCGCTTAGCGCTCTTAATTGGATCCTGAAAAAACAAGCCGTCACAGCGGGGTCCTTCAGGAGGGCCATGATCTCCTTACGGCCCCCTCACCATGCCAAGTCGGCCCAAGGGCACCCTCAAATTCTTGCCCGCCACGTCTTT